TGTGCCCCCCCAGATTTCTGTGTGGGGTTGGAGGTGGGCTGCCCACTGCAGGCTGGGGCTCTGCACCCTGCTGCCTTTGCCTCAGGAGCTGTGCAATGTCATGTTGTACCTCCCACACTTGGGCAGGCACGGGATGCACGGCTCCCAGGGCAAAGGCAGCAGGGCACAGAGCCCCAGCCTGCAGCAGGAAACCTGCCTCTGCCAAATTCAGGGGGCACATGTCCTCTATGGCTCCCCAAAGCATACAGGAGCAGGGTGCTGCCCCCCTGCCCCATGCCCCTGGGCGAGCCTCTCATGGCTCTGTCCCATGACACCCCAGCCCCTGCCTCACTCCCTCCCTCACCATGGGGACCATGATCTGCTCTCCTCTTCCCCCTACAAACTTACCTGCTGGGTGCTGTTCTACATGCTGCCAGGTTGCATTCCTGGCCACGTGCATGCTGTGGCTGCTCGTGTATGTGTTTGTGTATCTGTGCCTGTGCATACCACCCCTCTCTCCCACCTTTCTGCTGCAGCAGCCATGCCTGGGCTGCCCTGAAGTCCTTTGCACTGTCACTACTGCCCTGCTGGGCAGCCTGGGAGGAGGCGATGCTAGTGGCAGAGTGGAACCCAGGCATAGGCTCCAAAACCACATGATTAACGGGTTAAGAAAATGAAAGCAAGAACCAATTAACATGCTAATTGTGCATGATAATGGTGATTAATTGACAGCCATAGCTAAGATATTTGTGTACTGCTGGAAAGAAGTAAAGAGCCATTAGCGTAACTGAGAATCAGGCCCTTAAAGCAATTGCTGAAAAGTTTGAATGGATATGCCTAAGAGTTGACCAAAGAGTCTGATACAAGAGGTGATGAAGAGCTATGAATTTACTGAACTTAGAACAAGTTATGCATCAAAACAGCTGTCTTTTTTTTTGTTTTTAGCAGGAGCAGCTGAGAGGCTAGATTGAAGCTCTGAGCTGCAGTAACCAGGACAACATACAAGCATTAATAAAAGTGAGCAACAGACAAAATTATTGCTGCAGTATCTTTTGAGCTTGAACCTTTTGAATAGCTTAAGGAATGGCAGCAGATTTGCTTATAAGAACTTGATTTGCATGAAACACTTAACCTTTTCCAGTCTTTCTGATGAGTTACAAAATGTCACAATGGTGCTGATTTTTTTTTTGGTAGAAGGCATCATATTCATGCCATTGGTTTATGTTTCAGGGCACCTGTGGCATCAAGATCGGACACCTCATAGCCCAGATAGATGGATAAAAAAATGTGAGCTCAAACCCTGTTAGACTCTCTTCTTCACTTAGCTTTTTTGGCTTAAACATTTGAACAGTCTTTTTTTCTCTCTCCAAGTTCTGAACAGTTCTAAACAGCAAATTGGACCTTAAAAGGGTTTGTACTTGCATTGCAGTGATTTGCATACAGTCTACTGTACTGAATACCACCTTTATGAAACAATCTTTGTTTGTGCGTATCGCAGAAGCTGGAGAGTGCATAACATTACCTATGCTTGAATTGCTGATGCTGTATGTATCTGGTGCATAATGGCTAGAGAAGTAGAAATTTAAAAAATTGTGCATCAGGTAGGCTCAAAATGAGTTATGTGGCTCCAAGAGACTTGACATAGAAGAAAGCTAATGAGGCATATAAAGCCCCTAAAGCAGAACAATCCTTAATCTTGGAAATGATCCCGCTCCCATTGAAGTAGAATATTTGCCTGCAGCACATTAATAACACTTTTGAAAAAGGATGTTTTGCTTCCTTTTTGCAGGTTGCAAAAGTGTTTGACAGAAGAAAGGGTACTTGTGCATTCATCTTGGTTTTCTATTTGGCATTTACCCTTTTCCATTGGAACTTGCTTTTTTCTGTTTCTGGAAACACTGTCATAATACAATACACTACAACCAGATGCAAAAGCAAACTACTTTAGAGTCCTTTTATAATGTTCACCATTAGGGCCCTTATTCCTCCTTTTGCAAGCATTTACATTACTGAGGTAATCTGATTTCCACAATTACTCTTCATGCAAAGTATCAGCAGTATCAGCTATGTCCTATCAAAGCATTCAAATGTAGACTTATTTCTTCTCAACAGTCTAAGCAATTTGACCCATTTATCCCAACCTTGAGGTGGAGCTTGGGAGTTCTGTGGAGCACATAAGAAGTGGCATGGGTATCTGGAACTGTTTCTTTGAGAGGCACTGGCAAGAGCCCAAGACTCACATTTGATACTGTCTATCTGGTAAAACTCAGACAATGACTGGAGCAAACCTCTGCCAGACTTCTTGGCTCCAAGTGATTTCTGAACACCAGCAAGACGCATGTTTTCTTACCAGCTGGGTGTATCCAAAATGTCTGTTTTACCTGTTGTCATCTAGTAGAGGAAATTTGTTCCTGTCCTATGTAGTCATGACTGGCTCAATGCTGCCCTTACCCTAGGCAAGCTTCACCTTTTTGTGTGAGGAGAAGTAGCTGTAGTGCTCTCGGGATTTTGAGCTTCATTGGGGTTTCTGCAACTAACACTTAGTTCCCATAACAGTCCAGAATTTCAGTGGCATAAATGTGCCTGAAGTGATTTTCCCCATCCCCTTCTCCTCTGCCTCCTAGGCTGCTCCTTTGGAGAGATGCAGTCCAGCCTGGCTGTCTTAGTCGAACAATAATGTTTATGACATATTTGGACAATGGGCTCCTTTTTCATTTGTGTAATGTAACAACAACAGCTAAACTAAGCAGTAGGGGTGTATGAAGCCGGCCCTATTTGATTCAGATTTGGATTCAGCCTTAATCAGGGGCAGTGATTCGATTTGTTGATTCAGACCACTGTCCCTGATTCAATTTGGCCGAATCCGAAACTGAAGATTCGATACCGATTCAGAGAATCAGTGATTCGGACATAGACACAGCTTTAAGTGTTTCTTCTGCATACCTCGAGGTACCAGCGTGGCTCATGAATGCTGGGGCAGATGGAACATCCCACAGGAGTGCCGGTGGGGGGGGAAGCGACCCTCCACATGCTCAGCAGCAAACCCGGAAGTGCACCAGAAGTACTTCCAGTCCACTTCTGGGTCCACTGGGGGCCCCCTGTGCCTATGTCCAGGTCTGTGTCCAAGCTGTGTCTATGTCCAAATCACCGAAATGCATGTACATGAAACAGGGGCCCTAAGTTGAAGTAGTGTGTTTTTAAAAACACTGCTTCAATTTAGGGCCTTTTAAAGCTCCGTGTCATGCACACACCTGAACTTACCTGCCTTTCCATTGGCAGGGAGGAAAGGGCGAGCTGCTGGCAGGCATAGAGGTCCCTGGGCTGCAAGGGGGGAGGGGAAGAGGCTGGTGCTTCCCTCTATGGCGGTGGTGGCCCCCCCCAGGTGCTATCTGCCTGCAGGCACCCAGCTTGGGCTGTCCTGGGAGGCATTGCAGCTGCGGAGGGAAGCACTGGGCCCCTGCACAGCTCAGGCAGGCAGGCAGGCTCTGGGGTGGGTGGCAGGAGATCAGGCCCACTGCTTCTTTTTTTTAATTGGGTGAAGCCTGTTTTCCCAGGCTGCTGCCAGGCTGTCTGCACGGGCTTCCTGCAGAGCCCCTGAGCTGCACAGAGCCCAGTGCTTTGCTCCGCGGCTGTAGGGCAGAAAACTAAAACTCTTCAGAGGAGTTTTAGTTTACTGCGCCCCAAGTCATTTAAGTCGCCTTACACCACTGAATTTGCTACAGCAACTAGAATTATAGTGCAATACACCACCGGTGCGTGCAAACACCAACACCATTAAAGTGCTGCAAAAGCATTTAACCCACTTTAGTGTCGTGCACACATGCCCCTCATTTCATTTATACACAGCCTTGATGGGCTGCTAAATGCTGTGTTATCAATTCCCTGCTGGTTCCCTCGCTAGTCAGGAGCAGTGAGGAGGAGGGAACCCCTCCCTAATCAGAGCATCCTGCCAGGGCCTGGCCACACCCTCCACCCCTTAGCTCAGCATTATGAAAGAGAAGGGAGGGATGCTTTAGCTCCCCCAGTTTTCTAGCCTGACCCACTGTAGGCATGTGCCGGCATTTCTTCAGTCCAGAGGGAATGTCTTTGTGCTTGCGAAGTTGTTCAGCCCAGCCAGGTTAGACTCAACTACAAAGATTGAATCAATTTAGGTTCAGGCTTTTTGAATGGCTGTCCCCAGACCTTGTGACCACAATTCAAGCATGCAAACTAAGTGAATGGTTAGCATTAGTCTAGAGTCGGAAATAATGAAGCAAAGTGTTTTAAGGCATGTCTGTAATAACTACAGCCTCTGTCATTGTTACTCTGTGCTGTATCATTAACTTGTGAAGTGCAATCAACATAAATCTTCCTGTATTACGTGCATACATTTTGGAAAATGGTCACATCTAACAATATAAATAATGCAAGCACTGAGTTTGGCAATCATGCTTGCTTACTAGAGAATTAGTGATTGCAGAGGCCAGGCAATAGTTTTTGCTATTGAAATTATTTATTCTGTTAATATTGCCTTTACATTACCATTTATTTCTGAATGTAAATATACTTGTTTATGATTTTTAGCTGCCAGTCTGTATTGGAGGAGGAGGAGAACTGTAATGGCTTTCAGTGTACTCCTCTTGAAATCCTTCATTATTACAGACGGTGGTTTCCCATTCATCTAGAAAAAGCTTTCTGCTCAGATGTATTTTTGTACATTTTTCCTTAAAGGACTTTTAAAGGTATCAAATAGTTATTCAGCATGGCATTGTGATGTGAGGTTATTAAAGCAGCATCTGTGCATAAAGGCTAATATTTCTTAATCACTAATGTCTAAATTAGAGCAATTTTAAGTAATCTCACAGCAAGAAGTTAGGAAATTTCAAGGTCAGGCTTCCTGAAAGACAGAATCTGGCACATGGAATAGTTAATTACTTTCTTCTTGCCCTTTTTTCTTGTCTCTAGCTAGGAAGTTTCTCAAGTGGGAACTGTCTGTACAGTGCCCAGCACAATGAGTATTACAAGGACCAGATTAAAGCCTGAGCTTCAGTCCTTGGCTCCTGAACTTACAATTGGGTTGTATCTACAAAATAATTTTTAACAACATAGTCCTTATGGGCAAAGAAAAACTTAGTGTGACCTGAACATAACTGCAATCATGACTAGCACCTGAGTCTAACCTCTTGGTGATGGTGGAACTGAAGAGAACAGTTTTCTTTCCCATGGTGTAACCTGCCATGTTAATAGCCTGTGGAAAGAAATGAGGGGATGAATTGGCCTACATGGGAATGTAGTCGGCCTCTCTCAGTTTAGCCTCAGGGAATTAATCGCATTGGCTTAACATGGCAGTTTTACTATAGGATGAAAGCTGCCCTGTAGCTTTGAAAATTAACTTGTATGTTTCTCTCTTGAAATAAACACCTAGCTGCAGCTAGCAGAAGACCTAGGGTGAAACCCTTGGCCCTGTCAAGATAAAGAGCAAAACTCCAATTGGTTTCAACAGGGACAGAATATCAGCCCAAGTCTTCGAGATGACTGACTGTTGGAAATCAAATTTTTCAGAAATGTGCTGTCTTCATTGCATGACTCAAAAAGGAATATAGATCTTTTTCCAGAGGAATGTACAGTAAAAAGAGTGTGTGGTATGCTCTGAAAGATTGAGCTATGCTCCCACATCCTCTGATTTCAATGATATTGACTTTTAAGCAATGTTGTATATGCTCCGTCCCTCTAAGGACTAATTCTATTGCATGGTGAAGGCATCAAAATAGTCAACAGAGCAAGAGCTAGTGGTGTAGGTGAAAACGGGGAAAAACAAGCATTTTAAATTGAGATTTGAAATGAGATAGGTCATTGAGGCCTGAAATGGAGTTTGCTGCAGAAAAAAGGGGCTTTGATAAGTTGGGCAAAGTGCTTCAAGGCACAGGCCCTGCATATTTTATGAGCAAAGCTAGACGCATAGAAAGTTGACTGGATTTGTAAGTGTAGATGAAGGCAGTAAATTTGCTGGGGCAGCATGTATGAATAACATGGACTGT